TTCTCTCATTCTCTCATATTCTCTAATCTCTAATCTCTCAATTATTCATTTATTAGTTTTTGCAATTTGCTCGTATTTTAATTTTTATTAGTTTTTGCATTTTTTAATTCATATTTCCAATTTCCATATTCCAATTCTCTTTCTTTAATTTTTATTTCTTCTACATCAATTTTTTTTTTCAACTACAATAGATAGATATTTCTCTCCCATCAATTACAATGATGACGGAAACTACTATCCTAGTCCTAGTCCCGCTGATTTTACTAACTCCCATTCTCAGAATCCGATACACCTCAAACGAGGCAATAATTATTGTAATTTCTTATTTTATTTTTTAATAAATGAATAAATTTAATTATTCTTATATTACAATTTTAATGTATTAAAATTGAATTAATATTTGGAATGTTAACCAAAAAAAAAATTTAATTTAATTTAATTATTGATATTTGAAAAGAAATTAACAATTAACTAAAAACAATTACATTTATAAATTGTTAATTATTCATTTGAAAAGTTAATTAAACATTTAAACTTAAATAAAATAAAACAAAACAAAATTAAAAAATAAAAATAAAAAAAAATCAAAAAGCGGGTTAACCCGGCCCAACCCGGTGGGTTAGGGTTGGCGGTCCGGGTTGGGCCAGCCAATTCTCTAATATTGGCGGGCCGGGTTCATCGAGCGGGTCAGGACCAACCCGCCATTTGCAACAACCCGCCGCGGGCCGAGCGGGTTGCTTTTTCACCTCTAACTGTCACAAGAAGAGTATATGAAGAAAGTACTCATACGTTCAACATGGATGGAGCAAAGCCAGTAAGTACTTCTTTGGCTAGTCACTTTAAACTATCCAAAGATTGGTCACCTACAACAGAGCATGAGCAAGACTACATGGCGAAGGTACCCTATGCATCAGTGATTGTTAGTCTTATGTATGCCATGGTATATACAAGGCCAGACATAGCACATGCAGTGGGAGTTGTGAGTAGGTACATGAGCAATCTAGGAAAGCAACATTGGGAAGTAGTCAAATGGATTCTTAAATATTTGAAAGGTACTAAAGATTTAGCATTATGCTTTAGGAAGTCAGACTTAGAGCTACAAGGTTATGTGGATGCTGATATGGCTAGTGACATTGATAACCGCAAGAGTGCCACTGGCTATGTTTTTACATTAGGTGGTACAGTGATCAATTGAGTTTCAAAGTTAAAGAAGATTGTTGCTCTTTCTACTACAGAGGCAGAGTATGTTGCTATGACAGAAGTTAGTAAGGAGCTAATATGGTTACAACGGTTCCTAGAAGAATTGGGTCAGAATTATGAGAGAAGCGTTTTGTATTGAAATAGTCAAAGTGCAATTCACTTGTCAAAGAACCCAGTCTACTATGCTAGGACAAAACACATAAAAGTTCGTTACCAGTTCATACGCTCAGTTTTGGAAGAAGAAGTTATAGCTCTCGAGAAGATTCAAGGGAGTCAAAATCCAGCTGATATGTTTACGAAGGTGATTACCGTTGAGAAACTGAAGTTGTGTACAACTTCAGTTGGACTTCTCGCTTGAAGAAAGAGAAGTTGATGCCCCTGCTGATGGAAGCAAAGAATTGAAGACATGTTGAATTAGTCTCCAAGTGGGAGATTGTGGAGCCAAATTCAATCCAAATTAGAATTGATTTAGGACATGAGTTTTCCTAATTTGTGTTTATATAGAATTATTTTATTTAGTAATACAATTAGAAATATGATTATAATTGTGTTAGGAATTAAAATATAATTTATATTAGGATATGAGATTTAAGTCCTATAAAAAGGAATTAAGTCCTAGAGTTAGAGATCACAAATTGAATAGAAGGCAAAACCATAATTAGAGAGTAAGAGCCACGAAATAAAGTTTAGTGAGTGAGCCAATTTACGAGGCTTCTAAAAGATTCTTGTAATTTTTTTTTCTTTTTCATAGTAAAATTTCGCAACAGCAAAGTAGATGTAGTTCTCGTATAAAGAGTAAACCACTATAAATATTATGTTTGTGTATTGTTATTTTGCATCATTTATTCACACTATTTTTCGCATTCAAGGAGTTAGGATTTGCTAGAATGCTAGAATATAATTCAATCCCCAACATCTTGAAATCTTTTTCATTCCTAGAAGTCTTAAAACATTTATGATAATCCCCAACATAGTAAAATTAACTGTCATATTTGCAGTGCCCGAAACCTTTCGGCTGTAATTTAATTATGATAATCTAGGTCGTAAGTACTAAGTACACCTTAATAATAGGCTATTGCAACGACGTACAGCTTGTTAAAAGACTTCAATGATACGAGTAGCGTAGCCTTAAAACCTGTTATTATTCCTTAGCTTTTCCACTTCCAGATACTGTTATTTTCTCTGGCAGTGCACACGGGAATCACTTTATCCAGTGAATTGTCTCTTTCTCTGCCGCTCAAATATATATGCAAAAATTAAAGGTGCTTGAATTCATGAAACATAAGGCTAAATGTTTATCATGATTATGAGTATAGTTAATTTGTACTCAAACAAAATGCAGAAGTTTCAAAGTCCCTTCACTAATTTGTAGAGGAAAAACGGAGTAACAGATATCGACCACTAATAAGCAATCAGGAAATTAAAAAGAAGTAGAATAATATTAGAAAGAAACCGGCAGCTTATTTGATTGATAACGCTGAAAGAGAATAAAGAAGAAGCTGAAATATAAAGACAAAATTCTTACCTGTCTCCAACCAGTCGGTGCATCCGATAAATTAGGTCTTCTTCTTGTTCATTCATCTTTATGAATACCCACTCAGTACTGCTAACTTCTGCAACAAAGAAAAAAAAAAACACAGCCTTTTAGAACAGTATATTTAGTACCAAGGAATAGAATCCCTTACAGAAACAAATGAATAAAGGCAACAAAAAACAAGACACGGGAAGAAAATTCAAAACCTTCAGACTTTTCACACATGGTCCTGGCTTGCTTCTGAGGACTCTTACGCAATCACAAATAGAGAACCAATCAATCTTTTGTTTTGAGCGTGTCACAGAAGATAATTAATTTGATTAAATAGCAGCCACCATATTGTAATTAACAATTAGTGAAAGAGAGACTTTAGAAGTGATAAAAAGGATAAGTTTGGTTGCAGAAGTAAAGTACTACTACAGAATTGGAAGTGACATGGTTTTACTTATTTATAGATGGTGTGATAGGTGAGTATACAAATAGAATACGAGCGTGAAAAAAATATGGAATGACTGGTGCAACTGATCTGCTCTGCCTCATAACTTTCTTTTGACTTGTAGTTAGCCTTAAGTCTGTTGACAGTTGACACTCGCTCCTAGGATCTGAATACTGAATACAACATATGCTGCATATACGTACAAGAATTAATTACATTTATACATCAGATAGAATTAATAATTCCCTCTGTACATTGAGGATACTGAACTTGAAAACGTTAAAAACATAAATAAGTCAATACTAAAAGCACAGTGGGGTGGCCTCTTATCCCATTCACTAACCTCTAGTAGAAAAGTGACAAGACGTAACAGGTCTATAAACCAAAATTTATTTGTCCGTATTCCTGGCTGTAGAGAAAGAGACTAGTGCATTTTCTTTCGGAGTAACATTTATCAGGTTTTCAATGCGCCAATGACAAATTTCTTGTAAATTTAATAATGGACGCTTTATTTATTGACTGGGAATAAACGCTTTGCCGACCTATACCGCAAAAAGCAGATTCGTAGGCCGACTGATGTGACGAAACATATAAAAATGTCCTCGGCGGCTATCTGGGTACACAAAGTCATGGACTGGAACAGACTCAATGCTACTGCAAAACCCTTTACTACTCAGCCTGCAATAGCCTAACCCAAATTCAGAATCCAAACATCGGAATGTCCAATGGCAATGGCCTAACCCAGACTCACTCCATGACCGAAACAAAGCCTAAGAATATGGCCTAATCCAGCTATTTGTCTCGACCAAAATAGGCCCACGGCTATGGCTTAACAGATTAGTCTCAATGCATTGAAGGTAAATTACACTTATTAATCTATTATCTCAATAGATTCATTTCAATAGGTTTATATCTACAACTTTATCATTCTTCTATCTCCAATTTCGTTTTGGACGCACAGACTAGCAGTAAATTCAGGGATTGCAAGGAGAAATTAATTGCTTCAAATCGAACCGCATTACATCAATTCTTATTGCTAATCAAAAGAACAAACTTTATGATTATGAAATGATCTTTTGGCAATTATCTGGTTTAAAACAAAGATTTTAGATGTATTACCGCATGAAATTCCTTAAATTTTATTTGACTCAAAACCGCAGAATATTCTAACAGTTTATGAGCAGTGACTGACGAGAGAGGCACCCTTTTTTTTATCTGCTGGCAGAGTATATATAGAGCCAATTAAGTCTCCATGCCAAAGGTAATAAAATTTTATCCACTGGAGAAGATAGAGAAGCAAATGGTATGTTTATTACTGCATATCTCAGTAGCGGAGGCTTTAGCTAATGAGATATAGAAGCTATAAAATGTAATTTAGTACATGCATAAGCTCTTACACAGGCGACAAGACATTTCACATCTATAAACCAGTTAGAAACACAAACCTGTATGCATGGTCCATGGAAGTCATTTGCTTTTCTATTTTCTTAACTAAAGAACCAACTTTCATTCCCACTATACGTTTTCAATGCCCCAATCACTAATTTCTTAGGCTGAAAATCGAAGAAGGGTGTCCCTTACTCGCTTTCATATAATTTTAGCAGAAGAAAATGTGTAGAATTTATTTTTCAAGTAATTGTTATAATAAAGATAGATGCTTTTTCATTTTTTTTTTCTAGAGCGGGGGAATAAGGTGCTGTGTTTCGACCCATACTGCAAAAGGAGATTCTAAGATTGATTTGATGTGATAAAACATTTAAAAGAGAAAACTCCTACTTACTCCATGCCTATATATTTGCTCCAACACTGACTTCTAGCACCAGGCAAGCACAAACTAGCCTCTAGAGATCTCATTAGAAGCTGTCTTGTGCCTCAATTAACCTTCGTCATGGCCTCAGCTCAGTGCTACAAACCAATTGAGCAATCATGCAACCAAGGACACCATTCAAGCTCATTGGACCAGAAAGCGTCCGGGGTGGCTAGCTGGGCGTTCAAGTCGTCCAGTGAAACCAACAATCACGCAACTCACGGCACACACACTCAAACTCAATGCTATGCTAAAACCCAGGCCAACTGGACAGACCAGGGAATGGCCAAAACCCAGACTCCTCACTGCTATAGCCAAACCCAAATTCACAATTCAAACCAGGTGTCCCACGGCCATGGCGGCTATGGCCATGGCCATGGCCTAACACACACTCACTCCGTGGACCAAAACAAGGTCCATGGCTGTGGCCAAACCCAGACAATGTGCACTGACCAAAACAAGGCCCATGGCTACTGCCAGACTCAGACTCAGACTCAGACTCATGCAACCAATGGCATGGCAACATGCCAAGGAAGGAGCAAGAAGAGGGGTGAGCAGAAGAAGAGAGGTATGTTCCAGAGGATCAAGGAGGGCATTGCTGGTGATAGTAGCAGCAGCGAGAGCGACAGCGATGATGAAAACTGTGGAAAAAGAAAGGCAAGTGTTAAGTTTCTTTGAGCTATGCAAAATAGTTAACTGACTTTGTAATGCGATGACTGTATTTTCATTTTAGAGTTCTAACTTTTCAGTTTGTGTGTTGTGCTGTGCAGAACTAAGTGTATGAGCAGTTCTGGGATATCAAATCAAATGAAACTTCCTCCCATGAACTCTATCTATCAAATAATTTAGTATGAAGAAATAAATATGTACCCATGACCATGAGATATGGCTATTATTAGTGAAAGAAAATTTCACTGATTATAGTGTGTCGCGTCCATCAATGTACTACTACTTATATAATAAATCATCATATTATAGTTGGTGACTAATGAGCACTTGTCTTTTTAAGTATATTTGTGTCTTTGAAGTATAATAATAGCAGTAATTGATATATAAAGCATGAATTTTGGAGGCGATGGACAATCAATATGATGATAATCAAAAAATAGATATGTGTATCCATAATCCAATTATATATTCTGATTTCTGATCAATAAAGAAAACTTCCTATGAAAGACTGTTGAAATTTTTTGGCTCCAAAAACTGCCGCTTCATTAACACTAAAATGAAATAGCATGCAGCACTCAGCAGGATTCTAGAAAAATCGTGTTAGTGAAACCAATCAATGAAGTATTAATATACATTAATATAACACCCTCGAAGTGTACAGTACAAATATTTTGGCCTACTTTCCTCATCACAAGACACTAGAGCAAGAGTTCTTTGCTTTAAGAAAGAGGATTCCCTTGTGAAACAAGCTGTAAAAATTGAAATTATCAAAATGATAAATCAATTATTATCATTCTCAAAAAAGTTAAACAGTAAATTATCATTATTTCTAAAATATTATTCTATATTTTTCAATTTCTTTTGAACCTCATAAATTTGTTAATTTAACTAAACACTCCCAAATATTTTTTTTTAAAATTGCAAAAATACTCCGGCCATCCTCCGACGGTGGTGGTCGGCTGTCCGTATTTAATGGGTGGGTTATGAGTGTTTTTGTTAACTTTTAATAATTTATTATAAGGGTGTTTAGTAAATAAACAAACATAGGAGATATTTTTGTTAATTTCTAAATCTTACGTCGTAATATCTGCCCAATTTAACTTTTTTAAAAAGATTATTCTAAAAATTATCCTGAACATTGGTGTTTTCATCTCTCTCTCTCTCTCTATATATATATATATATGCCCGGTTTCTTCTAGCACTAGGACCTCTCAAGTTCCAGAGTACGCACAACAATGCACCGAAAGCGATCAATACAATATATAAGCTTCTTTCACATACTATTTGCGCAGAAAGTTATTATATGTGCGGAAAGCTTCTTTCCAGGGATGCCATTCATCCTCAGCTTAGAGTCATTTGGAACCACTCTGATTAATTGGTCTTGCTTGTTCTAAGTCTGTGCGTTCTAATCAAATGCCTGTGCCCATTTTTCTTTTCTGTTTGGTTTGAGTCTGTGAACTCCGTTAGGACACTTGAGCCCATTTTCCTCCTTTGTTTGGAGCCTGTGTGCTCCTTTTTGGACGATTATTTCCATCCTTTTGTTTAAAAAGATGGACACATCTGTTATAGTCTTCTTTAAACCTCTTATGAGGTATGCCCTTAGTTTTTTGTATTGTTTTTCTTCTTTTATGAAATTTCCCTTTTCCAAAAAAAAAAAAGTTATTATAAACAAGACTCATTATTCGGAAACTGGCGATATTGATAACATTAGAAAATACAAATATTTTTGCAGTGGATTCTTAGAGTAATACCTATAGCTGGTAGTTACCCTTTTCATGCATGCATCACTACTCCATCCATTTATCATCTAAACAATCTATTTCTTAACCAATTAACTTATATAACGAAGTCCCTGGTGGAAATTAAAATTCACAACTTCAATGTTAGCTATATGAATTTGTTACTTCTAGTGACTACTTTTGTTGTCAAAGACTCAAAATAAAGTCAGTTCTAGTGACTCTTATATGCAATTACCACTCACGTAGTTAAAACGATAGCACTGCATGGGGTAGATTAATTCTTCATGACATGACAGTTCGAGAGAAGTCATAATTCAATAAAGTGGAACAACTAAAACAGCCGCGTCGAACTTAATATGTCTGATTCGCCTTGTTCAAGGACTATATTCTTTCTTTTTCTCGCACGGATTCTCTTTATGTGACAGAAAGCTTGAGTGTGTTTTTGTGCCCACTAATGAAAAATATATGAACGAGCAATAATATATATCAGAGAATACAAATTTACGCAACATATATTGGAATATGACCATTATGGAATTTATTCCGATAAGAAGGTGCGTGCATTATTATATTTTCCAATGCCCAAATTATTTTTTGGCACGTCTAGAAAAAGAAGATTCCGTTTGTGATGGTACCAATATGGATTTCAACTTGCTGTCTAGAACTCTCTCCATGCCTATATTTTAGCATCTAACACTCCTCAGTTGAAGTCCAACCAAGCCTCGCAGAGAAGCCAAGAGAGAAATAACTCAATCTAGCTAGCAAGCTTCAATCCATGGCCTCGTTGCAATGCACCAAACCGGCTGAGATTATAACCTGCCACCAAGAAAAGAATCATGGGCATCAAGCAAGCCACGGCCTAATCCACCGCCATGACCATCATGAAAAGGCCAAAACGAAGACTCATTGCGCTGGCCAAACCCAAACCCATGGCCACCACTCCGGCCATGAAAAGGCAAAGGGTCATTGCGTAGGCCAAACCCATGGGCACCATGTTGAGCACCATTGAAAGAGTGAAACGAAAATGAAGGACAAGAAGGAACACAAACAGAAGAAGGAACACAAACAGAAGAAGTCTCATGAACACAAGAAGGAGAAGAGTCCGCATAAGAAGAACAAGGATGGAAAATCAGGCCACAGCAGCGACAGCAGCAGTGACAGCGAGAGCGAAAATGATGGTTGTGGAAAAAAGAAGGCAAGTGTTAACAATTGAACATGTTATTAAGTAACTCAAATATTGACATATTGAATTTGTGCTTTGAGTTCTTGCTGAGAGCAAATTATATATCGATCAATTCTATTTCCTGGAATTAAACTTCTTATTTGTTTTTGCAGATGTGAGTGGAGCATATTGATGTCTCGCAAGGATATCCAATCTCACAATAAATAAATGAAGATCAAGACTCATGTTTATTACCAGTGAAGACTTATAGCTTCACTTATGGTCTGTGTCTGTCCTACTATTAATAAATGTAAAGAATAAACGTTATATAATATACGTTTACTGAATAAATATATCTGGTGATGATAAGCAAATCCTGCTATGTTTAAATATCCTTCTTCACTTATTTACCATTTCGCGGCTTATAGGATAATTCTATAAAGATGAAGTAGAAGATAATTTCAATATGAACATTATCCATGTAAAGATACATGGAATTTTTCAGTGGAAAAGCAGAGTATAAGGGCTACCACATATTTTACATTACTTGACGAAATCCAAAATGCAATAGTAATTGAGGGGAAGGATTTCCCACTTCATGTCAATCATATCGGCTTCAAAACTGACTCAAGTAGCAAGCAACTACAAAGAGCCTTAGGTAAGTCGTAAGAACCCCCTTGCCTCTACAACGATGCCTAGTTACAATATCACAAGCCCTAAACGAAATGGCACAGCCCTTGATAGTAAATACAAAAACTCCTATGCAGCTAGTGTGTCAACTTTCTGCAAGACACTTGGAAACAAATGATGCAATGGCCTGAACGGCAAGATCTTCAACTTCAACTTGTGTTGATGCCATAGTTTGCAAGTGTTTCTTACCAATCTTGAAGGAGTGATCACCACCATCAATCACATGCAACTCATTCATAGACTTCATCTTTTTTCGAACATCTTCAAGCTTCTCCAAGGGACAGAACCCATCTTTGCTACCCTGCATCAAGAAGGTAGGAGTCGAAACACAGTACAAGCAAATGCAATGATGAATGAAAACAAGCTAAAACAAACAGAAGTAATTTGTTAAAAACTAGATCACAATATAATTAGATGCTGCGATAAGCACAAAATGAACCCTGTTTATAAAGGAACCAAACAGGGATATAAGAAGCAAAAACTGTTTTATTGAAAAACAACTGAAATTAACTGCGTTAATGAGACCTAAGATCAGATAGTTTAAAGAAAAATCACCAATTCTTCAAAACTCATTGAATGTTTGTGGTTTGAAAATAAGATCACATATGCATTTGGAGATAAACTGCTAATTTTTATTCATAAGTATCTTACAATGAAGTCAGAAAGAATACCTGAACAAACATTACAGGTATGGTAAGTTGCAACAATGTTTCATCTCGCATTACCCCGTTCATGCCCTGAAATAATAAAAAACTGAATTTAACAAATATCTCTACTGGGCTTGCATGATTTCCCTTTTCAGTTATGGTACAGCTTTTAAAATAAATCATTCATGAGTCATGCAATCCATAAAAGCTCAAGAACAGATGTCTTCACTGCAAATACTAAATGGAAAAAGTTTTAGAATCATAAAAAAATGGAGTCTCAATGTTATCTGCAAAAAGTCAAGTCAAAGGGGAAATAATTAAGGATAATAACCGCTGAGACTTTGTAGGTTTTAATTTATTTTTATTGTGTTTCAGAAGCAATTGAGAGAAGACAGGCAGCAAAAATTTAAGGGTCACCAGAACCCCAAATTATTTAAATCATGATAGCATTAAAGCTGTTCTCATCGATGCATATTGGATAAACTTCTTTCGGTCCACTAATGTTTTACATACAAGTAAGACTTTTTTATAAGTAAACTATTTAACACAGTAAATTAGCATGAGATCTTTGGTACAGTTAACAGAGTTCAGAAGTTGCAAAGTGATACTTGTGTCAGGAATGCTAAAGAACGCCTAAATAATTTTTATGGTTATTTGATTAAAAGGATTTTACAAGAAAGGGAAAGTAGACGTGTAAAAGAAATAGCATCTTCATAAATCTTACCATAAATGTAAGGAAAACAATTCACATTGACAATACCATTTCATCCAACAATTAGAAGAATTGTGCATTTCATAATCTTACATTACAATTGAGCCAAATTATGTTATAATCTGAAATAACATGGTTTAATAACTAAGAATGAAGCAGCAGTATACACGACATAATAAAGCTAAATTTTTCATAAACTTGTAGAATGTCTTTCATATCTCCATATTCCCACCCTCTCCCATCTTAAATAATACAGCTAA